CTTTAGCGAACCTCTAATTTGTTTGAAGCTTGGCACAGTACATGGTAACGATATATAGATTACAGAAGCTGACAATATAATCGTCACAGAAAAATATTTTTTACATAAGGGACAATATGTGGACTTTTATTTTGGAATGTGATAGTAATCTTAGCCTGCAGTCGCGAATCTAAACAGTAGAAGCTAAAAAGAGAGGTTATTTTAGAAGGATGGAGTTTAAGCGCATCTAAGCTGTTTTGTGTAATGAAAAAAATTGGGCTTTTTTAATTAGAAACTTTCTATCCTGTAGCTATATTTGTTTCGTTATAGTCAAAAACATTAGTTATGAACAGTTGTTATGGTTAATAGTATGGACCAAGTAATCCAAAGCTGAACGTTTGAAGTTGGCCTTTACAGAATTGCAACGACTTAAGAGTGGTGTTAATTTTCTTTGCCGTATAACGTCCATATAATTTTTAACGAGATAGATCCGATGAATACATGCAAGGTAGCAGTTGTAAGCGGGGTTTAACGTTCACAAACCCACCAAGTCTGTGTTCTTATTTTTCATATACACTGTACAAGGCTCACTTTACCACATAAGTGAATTATTCTTACCTTTAATCGAATAAAAATCTTCTAAAATAAACTAAGCTTCCCATCTCAATCCAGTATGTGATAGGCTTCCTATGCAAAGCGTTAAAAAATAATTGGCTAAGGACGCAGGTCGGAATACGGTAAAACATTCTGGTTCTCTAGCCAGACAGCAGTCAATTCGCGTTCGAATGCTTTACAAGCTTACCTATCTGCTTATTCAGAAACACAGTCACTAATACTATGCTTTTAATTGCTTCATCTTATCTCTTCAACATTCGCTTTGTGTGGCGGTGTTTGTCTTCTCTTCAGTGTTTAAACCTAAAAGCGTTTCAGCTTTTAAATTTCAGGCTATTTCCAAAAACATTGACACTTTGGGTACAGAAAATTTTCGTTTCAAAAACTATAATATATTACAAGAATACTACTAATTAAGAGACGTTGTTATTTCATAATGTTGTAAATTACGCTTAACGGTTTTATTTTGCTCAGAAAGATCGACAATGTGCATCATCAATCCGATGCCATCCTGTGATCTAATAGTAGTAAGAGGTAACGAATAGAAGCTTGAGTTAATTAATATTATTACCCGAAATCAACGTTTTCATGAGCAAAAGGTAAGACTATAGCTCGCTTATTATAGCACTTATTATGCGCGTGTTATTATATTACAAGAGAGTATTCCATCAAGGGCAATCATTAAATCGTTAAGGCAATGATTTATAACCTTGCTAGATTTTTTTAAATATAACCCATACAAATATGGCACTGTGGGGACAAAGCTATACATGCTTGTTGATTATATTCCTCGGCGCGTAATATATAACCTTTGCCGTATGTCGAGTAGATCCAAGACAGCGATTTCTGGTCGCACAGCGTGTCGGTCTATAAACCGAAAAAAAAAAATTAACTTCTATTTATGGAATATTTCCCATTTCCATTACGCGACAGTGATGAGTAAACTTGTAAAATAATGAGTCGGATAATATGAGCAACTACGATGACTATTAGTTAAGAGAGAACTTTATACGACGGTTCACGTACGCAAGCTCAGGAAACACGCACTCAATACTTGTGCCACTCAATGGCGTGTGACAGCAGATGAAAAATTGTCACGATAAATTCTATTTTCACTAATTGATAACTAAATTTTATATATCCGTATTCCAAATAGAACGCATGGATATAGGATTCAGGTCAAAACGACGACTAGCTTTTGCGCTTCAGAATGTGAAAAACTCCACGATACAAATCTAATAGCTCTATGAAGGCCCTAATCTAGTAGATCTATTAAGGCCCTTATTATTATTAATAGTTTTAGTCGATATATTTCCGCGCACACTGACAAAATACCACTAATGGAACACTGAGAGAATTCGCGGACAATACCAAACAAATTTCAAACAAGTTGCTTGCTGATTTTGTGGTTGGAAATTGTTTAATGGATACGAAACTTGGCGAACCTAGTTCTAGCAGACCAATTTCTGGTACCCTACTCTATGGGAGTTTTACACGCAACTCAAATACCGTAAATTTTAGATAGATTAATTTTAACTTTATTACTTATTGAATCTTAATCTATCAATAGTTTTCTCTATGAGAAAGACAGCTTTGCTTGTCAGTAGTTGGGCAAGACTGGCTCTATCAACTTCTGGGATACGCCTTGATAACCTAAAAACCCTAAGGCGTTTTTCCCACCGTCTTTACATGTTTTGCGCTTCTGCTGTACTGTGCCGGAGCAATTTATTTGACCACACGTCTTGACTAGCGCCTCGGCATTAACCCGATAAGAAACGCCAGCTGTTGTTATGAGCGACACTTGAGTGAATTCCTTGGAGAAACTGTTGTGAGCCCTCTAATTGGTCGGCAATGTTTTTCTTGGGTGGATTTCCGCACCTGAGACACCACCTGGTTAAAACACTTACACATATTGCCATTCACTTACAGCAAGATAAGCGTGGGTTCTGCAGGATGTGGTTGATGGCTAACATCACGGACGTACTACTTTTTGTTGTTGCAAGTAGTTCGCGGACAACCGCAACTACCGAAGTATTTCCGAGCTCGAGGGCGAATTCTTTTTTCCGTACAAGACTGCGTTTTCGAGTTGCAAATAGCCTGTGAGGCGTTCCAACGGGATCTATACAATCGTGAGAACATCACCGGTCCTGCCTGCCGCAGAAATACTGGACGCAATTCCGCCTTTCTAAAGTGAAAACCATTTCTTCCATTTCCTTTATTGGGTCGAATCGATCTACTTTTTAACCTGCTGTGAATACACCTAGCAACAGCCACCGAGAATTCAGTACTTTTTATGTTATCGCGAGGAAGGTTTGCGAACAATATCCACGCCCATTTCTTAACCAGACAATGCTGGTCTAAATTGGGGGTTGGAATCCTGGTTGCTTCTAACGTGACAGCCGAAAATAGTGTATTATGCTTTAAAGCGATAGTGGCCCCACCTCGAAACTCGCCGCACATTGTTGTCAGGCCCAGAGTCAAACCTCTTTAACATATCAGATTTATTTGGAAAACAATCCCGAACTAAACATATTAACCCTGTGTTCGAAGTAACCCGTAATACCGTGATCAAGTTAATAAGGGATCAAGTTGGCCGTTTGCCGTATGCTCGCTAGAAGGAAAAAATGTCAAACTCTAAGCCTATCTCATCCGGGAACTTTTACTTGGCCAGCTCCGAATCGGCAAGTGTTTCCCCCGAATTTTGACAAGGTTGAAAAATTACTTGGGAAAATTGAGCTCTTTCTCTGCGGTCCGCGAGCTTGTCCTTAGATTTCCGCCATGTTTTAGTTAGTGCTATTTCGCGGTCATACGATATTAGCGCAGAATAAGGGTCTCAATTATACATTGGTTAAATATAAAAAAATGCAATGTAGTAAAAATTAGATTAAAAGACTTAAGCCATTACAGCTTCTTGCAGGCGTTCCGGATGCAGCTTGTGTTAACGAAATTAGCAGGGGAAAAACGTACATTTATTTTTTCACTAAATACTACTATAATGTTTTGATGTATATTGCACATTTCGAATTATTAATGACTGTGGAAAAAATATGCTTCTACAACGCTGAGCAATTTTTCGCATTAATTATCTTGTAACTATCTTTTTCGAACAATAATTACGGGTATTTAATAGATGCACAATAACGGCTTATCACTACAATAAAAATTACGCAGATAGTTACTTGAAAAGAGTATGCAATACACTTGCACTTTTGTGACTACAATTTTGTAGACAGCTACTAAATACACACAACTCAATACGGTGAGAATATTTAGTCAATGAATTTTATGTGCTAAACACCACTACAATACACACACATACCTCGGTAGAAGTTGTGTTTGTTGACGTCGTCGTTGCTTGGGTACTTCCGGTGATCGAACTCGTTACCAATCGACAAAACACAACACTGCACAAGTGTACGCCGAAGTGCTCAGAGATTCGTTATTAGGATGGCAACTTCGCTGCGCGTTCTTTCACGATTGATAGATAATTTTGATCGGTTAGCATTGGTGAATCCCAGTAATGATGTGTTTATGAAAAGACGTGTGAGTTTAAAGCGAATGCAGCTTTTTTGATATTTGCCGTTGAGGAGGGAATGTTTTCGTGTGATTTGTGGCGTGTTCCTAACCGCGGATCGCATTCGCTTCTTATGGTCACGCTTGGTTTCGCTGTTGGTTCTGTGCGAACAACGTGGTTCGATGATCGAATGTGGGCACGTTGAGGAGAGCGAGCCCTTTTAGGTGGAGAACCGCGCCAATTGGGAGAGGGTAATCCGAATGGGTCCGCCCACCGCGACGAACCTTTCCTGTGATATAGGCTACACTTGAGGAATTCCGTGCAGCTGTATGGATGAAACCTTTTAAACCGTATAAGGAAGAATGATTATAAGGCCACAACCATCACCATTGTAGGTTCTCACCTCTACATTTCAGCTTGCTTGTTTCAATCATATGTAAGTCTGTGAGTCGTTAAGTTCCATTAAAGTGGCATAGACATAAGATTACAAAAGCCACATAGGCTGACTAAAGGTGATTTTTTAAATATTGTGTGGCTTCGTTATTGTGAAATAGAATCATTTTTCCTACACAAGAACTACGTTGCCTGGCTGTTATGATTGCCTTCTGCAATTTCCGAGACACGAAAGACTCGGCTGTCCTGGCAAATGTCGACGGAACAATGCGGAAATGATGCGCACAGTATATATTATAAAGTACTGTAACAATAAGTAGACTGAAAACTTTGCGCAGGCTTGCGTGTGCGACCTATCAATAAAGCTCACAAAAACTGTCTCTTATGTGGCGAAAAAGTAAATACGAAGGACCTAGTGTGTACATGTAGGCTAGCCTGTAGTACTAGGTCAGCAAAAACTAAGCGCTAAGCAAAATCTTCGATTTTCAGACTCGCAAGAAGTTGGTGTTTGACTTGTGGCCATCCGCACGCGCGGACAGAGTTGCTAACGCGGTTCCCTGCAAGGTGATGTGTCACAAAATTATTGATCTCTAAACCTCATAAAAAAGGTTTGTGCTGTGTGGAATCTAATCAACTGACTTATCGGAGCTTATTCAATCTGTTACTAAAATCTATTTCGTTGATACCCAACTATCCTGAAAAAATTGAGATCTATTTTTACACAACTAACGTTTATCGGTAGTTGTCAAAAAAGACTGAAGTGAGTGCATTTACCACAAAAAAGGTAGAGATACTGCATTCGTATCCTTATTATAGTATAAACTAACGTATACTTCAGGGATAATAAAGTTCATTGCAGTCACATTTCAAGTAAAGTTATTCAACTAATTGTAGCTCTGATGCGTACAGTATGGGATAGAACAAATCATGTACTGAAAAAAACAAACAAATTTCTTTTTCACAGCAACAGCAATCCGCGACACAACAGAGTGAGTAGAAAGTCGCTCTGGAGAAACGAAGGTTCACACCACATCGAGTAAGTGTTAAGCAGCCGATATCGGTACATACATAGTAGGCGAACAATGTGATATTAGGCTGAATGAATATCTATGATAATACCGTCTCTTAAACACTAAAGCATCTGCGTAGGTTACTATATA